GATTCCCACGAATAATGATCTCGCTCCCTCGAATTGACGAGAGATCTCATACATAATACCGCTAAGAGCAAAGATAATAGAACGAAAAAAAATTAAAACAATAGAAGAATAAAAGCGATAGAATAGAAAAAAATTAAAAAACAATGAAATAAACAATAAACAAGTCTGCAATCGTTGTCGCGGTCTTCCAGCAGCATAGCGAGCGCGGAAGAGAGATACATCATCTAAACATCTTTTTTTCTTCAAAAAGCGTCATTTTTTACCTCTTTCCTTTTTTACATCCCTAAATGTTGGTCCACAATAGGTGATTTAAGCTTTAAGAAGTAAGAAATTGACCAATTATAATCGAATATGAAAAAAATACTCGACTACAATTGATCAATTTCTTACGGCTTAAAGATTAAATATTTATTGTGGACCGACACTATTGCACTCGACGCTTCTCGCTTCCCCACGCACTCCGGACACGCTCAGATCGTAGGCGGTCCGATCTATCAACTATCGCACTAATCCGATGCGAAGTTCAAAAATTGAATCCTTAGTTTCGTGTGTTTCCATCAGTTGCGCTTCTTCTTCTTGACTATATTCTTGACATTGTACATATACAGACGAACCAACTCGCAATTGATCCCTTTCTCGCCCGGAGATCTCGCCTCGAGTTGTTGTTCACTCTCCAACTTCGTCACGAACTGAACAAATCGATCTCTTCCTCTGACAACGACGCGAACAACGCATCGAGACTGCCACCAAAAATCTCGTCGTCGAGGCTTCTCCTCACTGTATCCAGATGCACCAGATGTTTCCTGTACTCTATCTACTTCGAGGAAATCTCCTTCGCTATTTCGATCTCCATAAATGACGCATACTCGTTCGGCGTCGCGGATCTCTCGACGCAGCGAACCATGCTCTCCCCCGAACACGGGACGCGCTAGGCCCCGTAGACGAGACCGAAAAGCAGAACGCACGCCGAATCGCGACATCCTCCCGCCATAGGAGGCGAGCGGGGCCAGCGGGGTAACACACCAGCGGATAACGCGTCAGCGGGTGACGCGCTAGCGGGTGATGTGCCCAACGGGTGACGCTCCCAAAAACCACTCTGAACATTAAATGGAATCCATCCCCGATCGATAAACCACCCCGACCGCCAAGGGGAAACCACCCCGCCGACCGTCGCAGAGAGACCACCCCTATCGATCGTACGCGAAAAGAAAACTACTCCGTCCATCGCCAGGGGGATCCACCTCCGCCTGCCCCCCCCCCCCCGGGGGATTCTAGGGCTCCCCCTTCCCCGCACTCTCCCGGGAGTGGGGACCTCTTTGTTTGCCTGTAGCCCGAATAATCTTTATGATTGCAAATGGTGTTTGAGCGAAGAGATCGAAATGACTCGTCGTTAGTCGTGTATAAGATCAAAGTTACACAAAGTATATACGGTGTCCGAATCGCTCTGAGTCCGTATATGGGACATAGTGGGAAATAATCAAGGATTTATTCTATATCTATTAAGAAGGAGGAAATTTGTATTCTGAGGATTTATAATTATAATACTCACTGCTTCGTTTATTTTATTTATTTTATCATTTTCTTAATACGTTAACCACCGACGGACTAGCGTTTGACTTTTGTTTTGCTTGCAATATGTGTATTTTGAATATAAAAACAAATCATAAATGTTATACAGAATTATTAAGAACAAATGATGGTAAAGAAGCAAATTATACTATAATTATAAGAATAAACAATACATTATAATAATAAATATTAACATTTTGAAACAAATACAATGACAAACGATACATCGTACCGAATTCGATGGAGACATTACCGTGAGGGCATTGGTGGACAATCTTATAATATACATGTATATATAATGTATATATTTTTTATATTTTTATATATGTAGCTTAAACGTATGTACGTATGTGTGCATTATATGTATGTACGCATTTCATGTAGTTTTATACATTTTATATATATTATCATAAAACGGTCTCGCTTTTCCGCGCGGATAGTCAGTCGGTTATCAGGAAGCGAGAACGTTGGAGACAGAATTTTGGAATTAAAATTATAGTTAGATCGTAGGCGAAATTATTATATAATAATAATTTATTAGAAAACAGTGAAAGAAATAAGTAGTGCCGGATGGAAATGCACAGTTAATCGAAAAGAATGTGAAGAATGCGAAATAGAATTGGCCGTGAATGGACGAGACAGCGATCGGCACGTGTTTACGTGTTTTTATATGGATTTCTAATTGGCAGTTGGCGCGATACTGATGTCGCTACGTAGTTTGATGAAGCGGAGCGCGCGGGGTGCGCGGCGGTATCGCACGTGTACTCGCGGGCCTTTAAACAGGGCGATTTAAATCGCGTACACGTGTTTATGACTGCGTGCGTTGACTTCATTCGCGAGGGTGGAAGTTTCGTTGAGAGAGTGTTATGACTACTCGGGTCGGAGAACGGGTATACCCGTTCCCTGCCGAGTATACTCAACTAGCGGGAGTGTGCTCCTTGCCTTGACGGAGGATACGGAGTATTCAATTGGGGAAGATCTCAGCTCTGGCGGAAGGTTTCGGTGTGCTTGCCGAGCATACTCGGCCGATCGGGGTATACCTCGCTGCTCGGAATCGATCGGATGTACGGTTGTATCTGGGGGCCCTGATCTTGGCAACGAAAGTCGGTGGCGGCGGAGTCGGATCGAACGGACTCCGCCGCCGCGATCCGACACGCTGGAGAGACTCTAGCTCTCGGCTTGCCGCGGACGGCCAGGTCAAGCGAACTTGGGGAGGACCCCAATATAGCTCAGGCTATCTATCGGTTTCGGATACTCACTTTCCGTGAGACGTGCTCTTAGAAGGCGAGCGCGGAACAGGATGATTTTTTGTGGAGAGCGATGCCTTTTTATACCCGAGATTGACCTCGATATTTTTCGGTCGGATCTAGTGGGATTGGTCGATCTCGGGGGTAGCATCCCTCTCCACAGGAGCGGAGAAGAAGGATCGGTATAATTAGTTTTTTGGGAAGATAAGGAATAGGAGCGGGAAGAAATGAAAGAGGAGTTCGGTGGTGAGGTAACGGCGCGGCGCGGGGATGGTTACGGCGCTTCTAGACGTCATGGCGCGGTGCGGGGCGCTCGCTCGCTTTCGTAGCGCGGTGTCGGTGCGATGCGGGGCGCGTTAGCGCTTGCTGGCGCGGTGCGTGGTGCAGCGCGAGGAAAACATCACGAAAACAATTGTGGATTCGCACGCATTCGGTATTTCCACGCTCCGTCGTTTCGGAGTTCGCGAAATATAAGATTATAATAGGCGTAAACGTCTTCTTATGGCTATTGTCGCACTCCGCCTGATGGTCGGCAGTCCATGACGGATGATCGGTCGGGAAAAGATTTGGAAGAGGAACGGAAGAAGCGGAAGGATGCGCTTCGTTACAATCATAAGTTTCGTCGTAGTTACCATACATATATAATTTTTACGAAGACGTAATGGAAGAAAAAATAATAAGACTCTTTGTGTATATTTATGTATAAATATGTTTTATTTGTTTACAATAAATGAATTAAATTACATTGGTTTTATGTATCCAAGAATTATGTGATCCATTGAATCCCAGCTTCTTTACGTAACTTTTGTCTCTTTTCCTGCGTAGTCTTTCTCCATGAGATATTCTATTTGAGTCGCGCGGTGCTCATAGAATGCTCCTGCGGATTTTCCGCTATAGTCTTCGAACAGATAGGTTACGAGATTAGTACCCTGCACTTTAACGACTTTAAATACTTCGGTGATTTAATTTAATAGTAATATAGGGCCGGTTCTAACTCAGAAGCGTTGAGGGGGGGGGAGGGTACGGGTGTGCGGGGGGAACTGTGCGCAACCGAGGAGCTTCGGGGAGAGGGGAGGGGGAGACGGCGCGTGTTGGGCGACCCAGTACCATTGAATGTAAACAGCGTGCGATTAAATCGATGATTGATGCCTTCAACACCGTGATAAATAATTACGAAAAGATAAATAATGAAGATGATATAAAAAATTGGACGCGTGGACATGACGTCAGGGGGAGGCCGCCGCCGCGTCCATCGCCGCCGCCGCCGCCGCCACCGCCACCGAGTAAAAAATAAATATCTCTCTCTCGTATATCTATTATCTCTTCCGTTACGGCTCTCTCTCTCTCTCT